TCTCGTGTCCGAGCTTCCTGCAAAAGGTATTCGGATGATTTCCCAACAGTCAGGTCTCAGAACGGGAGTTCTCCCAGAGCTCATCGCCAAAGCCCTGTCCCCATTATCTTGCCACTACCTCCTGCTGCAGGAGCTTCACCATCTGATACGTTTAACAGCTTCGTTGTCCCTCTCTCGGTTCCTAGAAAGGCTGAACTTAACCTTGGGGCTGGTGGTGTCCCCTGCCGAGTTATCCGTGGGGGCGCCAGCATGGCGATCCAAGTAAGTTGCGATGGTTGTCTTCAAGACTCTTTTTATAAACCTATTCATTTATTTTGAGAGAGAGAGAGAGAGAGAAAGTGTGTGTGCGCATGTCCACGTGTGCACACGAATGGGGGAAGGGCAGAGAGAGAGAGTGTGTGTGCATGTCCACGTGTGCACGTGAATGGGGGAGGGGCAGAGAGAGAGAGAGAGAGTGTGTGCGCATGTCCACGTGTGCACACGAATGGGGGAGGGGCAGAGAGAGAGAGAGGGAGAGAGAGAATCCCAAGCAGGCTCCACACTGTCAGCACAGAGCCCGATGCGGGGCTCGAACTCTCCCACCGTGAGATCATGCCCCAAGCCAAGATCAAGACGCTCCACCGACTGAGCCACGCAGGCGCCCCGAGATTAACTCTTGAATTAACCTTGAACCTGTAACAGGGTGCGTGTGATGAGGGACCACGTGGAGATGGAGGCGGGGCTTTCTGGAGGGAACGACGCAGAAAAGGCCCCGCAGATGGGAGTCCCCTGGGGACCAGACCTTCTGCCTGTTTTTAAGTGACCTCGTAACTTACAGCCGTCAGTAACGCATCCGTACTTTTGCAGAACGTCACACAGTGCAGGCAAAGCGTGCTGCTGGCTGGAGAAGGCCCGCGCTGCGGGGGTCAGAGCTGCGTCAGGGGCTCGCTCGGGGAGACGCCAACCAGTGAGCCGTTCCACCTCCACCGGCCTGAACAACCCTCTACCCTTCATCTAGTAAACCGTAGGGTCTACTGGGGGCTTACCGGGGTCTGAGCCACTGATCCCCTTATTCATACAGTAGAGCCACAAGATTTGAAAGACTGTGACTGGGCCGCCCGGGGGGCTCAGTCAGTTAAGCGGCCGCCTTCCGCTCAGGTCATGACCTCGCGGTCTGTGAGGTCGGGCTCTGCGCTGACAGCTCGGAGCCTGGCGCTGCTTCGGATTCTGTGTCTCCCTCTCTCTCTGCCCCTCCCCCCGCTCACTCTCTCTCTCTCTCTCAAAAATAAAGTTAAAATATTTTTTTTAGAAAAAGGAAGATTCTGCTCATAGAATCTTGTTTAATATCGGAATGTGTTTGTTACACGTACACCTCGCTTTATTTATTCTCCCTCATTTTCTGACTTGTGCTGGCCTTGTTAGTTTTTACAGATGAAGTTTGGACTTATTTTATCATTTTGCTTTTGAAAAAAAAAAAACAAAACAGCCCACACTCGGCGGACTTTTGATCTCCCGTCTGGTGCTGTAAACCGCTCAGGGCAGCGCGCTCACCTCAGGAGAAGCTCTCGGATGTTCCCTGCCTCTCGGGAGGTTTGTCCTTCCCTCCCATCGGGTGGATGGCAGACGTTCCTCCCAAATCTCGGTCCCCCGGGGCGGTGCCACCGACTGTTCCTAGCCATGGTCACCAGGAGGAGGGGGGACTTCCGGAGACGGAGCGAGAGGGTCTCTATGAATGAATTACAAAGGGGGCTGCGTTTCTTACAACAGAAAATGGGAATAAGGAGCCAGGCCTGGAAGCGTCTGCAGAAGGAAGGGCCCTGGGCCAGCCAGCCCCACCTGGGCGCAAACAGATGAAACAAAGGCCAACCCACCCCAGGCGCCCTGGCGCCAGGCCCCGCGGGATCATAAAGGCACCATCTCCCTGCTAGGGCGGCCGCTTGCGACACTTGGCCGGCCTGCCCGCCCTGCCCTGCCCGGGAGCTTTGAGGCCAGAGAATCGAAACTATTTACCGGCACAATGACTCTGGGCAGCAGGAGCCATTGTTAGTTCTGAGTACTTTATGGAAGAGGGAACAGAAAGCACAGGCAGGAGCGCGGGGGGCTGGGACGGAGGCCCCCATACCTGCCTGCGCCCGGTGGTCACTCCCCGGCACCATCCCGACCACCACCGTCTTCCCCCGCTCTGGCCGCTGGCTCTGCCAGCAACAGCCCCTTCCCTCCATGAGCTTCCCGGCGGCCAGAGGGAGCTGGTTCATCGGGGCGAGATGCGTGTGTTTTGTCCCCACCAGATCGCCGACAGCTCACAGGGTCAACAAACATGAGGGAGGAGTGAATGAATCCACTGCACGGACACCTGGGAAGGACTCCCCTCGGGCTGGAGGCAACAGCGGCACCTGAGTGACAGACAGTCTCGCTTGGACCTGACGCTGCAGGGGGAGGGGTCCACTCATCTGTTTATTTCTCGCTGGCTGCTTCTGGCCTTGGGTGCCCCCAAAATACTGGCTGGCAGTAGGGTAGTCATGGAGAAACCAGGTGGGGGGTGCGGTCTTTCAGTGGCTCTTCCTTCCGGGCTCTGGATTCTGGTCTTCAGGTCCAGCTCTGGGATCTAGATTCTAGGTCCTGGGTTCCTCGTCCTCGGCACCAGACCCCGGCTTCTGAGCCCCGCGCTCTAGGCTGTGGATTTGGGGGTCCATGCTCAGGTCCCTGGGTTCTGGGCTCCATGTTCTGGGATCTGGATTCCCACGTTCAAGTTCTAAGCCAGCGTTCTTGGATATGAGTTCTGGATTCTGAGCTCCAAGTTCTAAATTCTGGATGTGGGGCGGGGGTGGGGGCAGGCTCTGTGCTCTGTTTGGGTCTGGTTCCTGAGTACTGGGGTACATGCTGTGGACTCAAAACTCTGGACTCCGGGTTCTGGCCCTGGCTCTGGATTTGGGGGCCAGGCAATGGGACTGTTTGCCAGGGGCCTAACTATTAAGAAGGTGAGCTCCTCCAAAGGGACGAATTCTTGTTTATTTCCTGTGGTGGCGTGGCCCCCATGCCCGGAACCCTGCCTGGTGAGGAGGAAGTGGTCAGCAGGCACACACATGTGCACACACGTGAGTACAGGATCCCACAGACACACAATCCCGTCGAGAGCCAGGGCACTGAAGGGCAGCGCCATCCCTGCGCGTGCCCGCGTGCCTATAGCTGATGGGGGAGGGGAGGCCAGGATGCGGCGACCTGGGGGGCGCTGAGAGGGCCCCGTGGGTTCAGACGGGCAGGCAAGCGCACAGCCAGCTACACACCGGGCCATTCCCGCCTGTTCTAGGTTTCTATTCTACACGGAAAGGATGTGGAGGCTGGTGGTGTCACTGCAGGCGCCCAGGGCTCCCGAGTCACAGTCCCAGGAATGCTGCTCCTGCTCGATCCTGGCGGCCTGAGGCATCTGGGCCTTCCCAGGAGGCACGCTGGCCTGCACAGGCTGTCGCCGCCCCGGCCCCAGCACGCCAGCACAGCAGTCTGCAGGGCACAAGGAGGCTGGCCATCAGAGAGCCCAATCGTCAAGGACTCAGGGTACCAGAGACGGCGACTGGGGCCTAAAGAGGTCATCCGTCAGGGACGTATGAACAGAGTAACGTCATTAGAGAGAGACGGTGGCGTCACGGAAGGTGACATCATTCGAGCACATGATCGGAGGCGGTGGCTGCGCACGGACGTTGCTCAGAGGTCCCGGCGACCAGCACGGCCCTGGGTTGCATATGTCCCTCACCACTGCTCTGGGACATGAGGGCGTGGGCAACGGGGACGTCAGTGACGGAAGCATCTGGTGCTCCTCGTCCTGACGCCTGGTTGGACAGGGGACATCAGTGATCACACTCAAGGGCTAGAGACTCCAGAGATCCCGGTGGTGGGTGATCTCCTGGGAACCAGAGGCAGCGATGGTTAGAGAATTTAGTGACCCAGGACACTGGTGATACTGATGCCCAGGGGGCTGGCAGTCAGGATACAAGGGACAGTGGTCCTGGGGTCTTGGAAGACGAGACTCCACAGTCCCTACGCTGGACACTTAGAGACCTGGGTGATTCACACCAAGGAGCCAGAGATGTTGGGCCCCAGAGCCACTGGCAACCGTGCCAACCATCAAGAAAACTTGATATCGAAGAGGATCCCATGATCAGTGACATTGGTCATCGGGCTCATTGCTGGTTAGAGATGTTGATGACCAGAGACAAGCAACCAAAGTCATTGTTAAGGAGGCACTGGTGATGAAAAGCGTGTGATGGTGATGCTGGAGACACATGTGAGTGCTCAGGTCTATCAACGATTAGAAAAACATGGGCCAGTGACCTCGGTGATGATGCTCCTTGATGAACTAGGACATTGATGACGGACTGCACTGGGGCCCCGCACACTGGAAGGCACATTTTGTGGCTGTCGGTGACCAGACACGTCACTGTCAGAGGTACTGATAAAATACTGGTGATTGAGCGTTGGTGACCCGTTGTTAGTCATCAGATGTCTAGGGTCACCGGCTCTGGTGATCAGACAGGTCACTGACCAAGAATATCAGTCATGGTGGCTATCTATCTCCAATGGCCGGCCTTGTTGACTGAGGATGGCAGCAATCAATGACATTGGTGATCAAACACACTGGTGATCAGATCTGTCGATGAACAGGAACGTTGAGGACCAAAGAGCTCAGAAACGAGAGCTGATCGTCTGGGAGGGAGCGGATGGGGACAGGGTGGGGCCAGTCCTTGCTGGCTTCTACGTGAGCCCCAGGAACCTGTGGACAATGATCAGTGTGTAAAGGCTGGAGAAACATGGCCTCCCCGGGTCTCCCCAGCCTCCACCCAGCCACCAGGGCCCCCATCGAGATGACAATGAGGGGCAATGCAGGGGCAGGGGATCGGGGTCTCAGACCCCAGCCAGACGGGAGCCCGCCCCCTATTTCAGGAGCCCGTCTCTCCAAATCCCTGGGCCGTAGGACCAGGTGGATCCCACCACTGCCCCCCCCCCCCCAACACGCAGGGCCGGCCAGAGGCATTCACAAAAAGTATTTTATTATTCTTAACAGTATTCACTCCAAAGGGATAGGAGGGTAGCATACAACTTTTTTACAGACAATATATAAATGTTGTACATAATTAACAATAACTTAGTTCACTAATCCAAAATAAAACAAGCGAAATAAAACCGAAAAACAGAAAATACTGCGGATTCTCTCTCCTATGCGGACACGAGTACAAAATAAGTGCCCCCCCAGCGATCGCCCGCCCATATTGCACTTGGTCGACTACATCGGCACAATCCTCTTCCCGGGCCGGCCCCTACCCCGCCCCGCCGGCCGACGCCCCCCACCACCTCCGCAGACGGAACCTAAGCCGGGCACGGTTCTGTACAGCTGTACCTTGGGAAGGATCCAGAACAGCCACAGCAAAGCAGAGTGTCTTCAGGGGCCCCAGCAGGGTGGTGGCCTCTCCCCGGACCCACCCCCCAGCTCCTGCCTCCCCACCTGCCAGACCAGCCCCTGGAGGCAAGGGCAGCCACGGCCCCTCCCCAGGCCCCCGCCCCCCACCCCTTTCGAGGGCTGTGGGATCCAAGAACTCTTCCAAAAATAATTGCGAAGCTACAGCCTTGGTTTGTAGGTTTTATTCCTTTCTACAGCAATTACTTCTGCGGCAACGTACAATTGACTGGACCCAAAATGAGTTTAAAAATAAAACAAGTAACTCCTCAGCGAGTTGAGCTTATGCAGTCTTTTGTATATATATATATTTTTTTCTTTTGTCTCAGAGTGGGAGGGAAGGCGGCTGCGGGCTTATAGCAGAAAAAAGGACGTATGTACAGAGGGTCCACCTGGCGAGAGGAGTCAGGCTGTGGCTCAGGCTCGTTACGGGGACACAGTCACACCAGCTTCGGCCTGAGAGCCCGGGGAGCGATCTGGGAGACATTTCCCCTCTCAAGAAAATGTTGTTTCCTTCCTGTGACCCAGCCCCGGCCTGGGAATCTACGCAGGACCGCCCATGATTGTCTCTGCCCTCCAGGGCCCGGCCGCCAGGGCTCGCGCCGCCCAGCCTCCCCAGGCCGCTGGTGGCCCCGCTGTCCCTGCTCAGGCCGCCCCGGCTCCAGCTGTCTCACAGAGGGAAGCCCGAGGGGAAGGCGCGGGCCGGGCCCCCCCCCCCCGCCCTGCACACCTGCCCCGCGGAGCCCTGGCAAGCAGGCGGGCCGAGCGGCACTTGGCGCAAGAAACCAGACCCCGGGAACTTAGGGCGTCCCGGTCCCAAGAGCAAAATAAATTACTTTTGCCTACGCCCTGCCCCTCCTGAAAACAGGGCTCTTCATTTGTCCCCTGCCTCCCTCCTCTTCCTCTTCATAAAGTTGTCCGTTCTGTTCTCCGAACAATCGTCCGTGACGGAAACCCCACCTGGGCGGTGGGCCGGGCCGAGGCCGCCCCCCAGCCTGCGTGAGGATGTTCCCAGCGACCGGGAGGCCGAGGCAGCGCGGGGCTCCGGCCGGGCCGGCGGGGGCGGCGTCAGTGTGCGGGGAAGGGCAGGCCGCTGCGGGTTTGGCCCCCACCCTGTCCGTCCGTCCGTCTGCGGGCGGCTGTCCCTAGCCCATGGCAGTCACCATGCTGGATGGGTGGGGGTGGCCAAAGGAGAGGCTGGAGGAGGGGTGGATGGGCGTTGGGGTGGGCAGGAGGTGCCCCGAGTGGCTGAAGGGCGGGAGGTGGCCCACGGGCGCCACGTGTCCGGCCAGGGCGGCGGCGCTGAAGGGGGAGGTCTTCTCCTGCATGCACTTGGACAGCTCCTCGAAGCACTCGGCGCCTTTCTTGCTCTTCTTGGACTTGGTGGACATCTTCCGGTTCCTAGTCTGGATCCCCTCCTTCTTCATGGTCAGTGGCCTGTTCACCTGCAGGCAACCCCAAAGCCTTCAGGGGGGGGCTGGCTTTTTCCCAGAACGAGACCGCACCCCCAGCTTCCCCAAGGCCCGAAAGGCAGGTCTGGGTTCAGGCCCCACTTGCAAACGCCCTCGGCCTGGCGTGGTCTTCCCACCAGCATGAGTCCCTTTCAAGAAAGATCTTTCACCGGGTGGGACCCGCAGGCCTGGCGGGGGGCGGGCATTGAGCCCACTAAGTGCCACCACTGCCCCCTCGACACAACCGAACTCCACACCCTCCTTTTGTTTTAAAGGGACACGACTTCCCCAGAGGGCCGCGGTGGGGGCCACACGTGCAGCCAGCTTGCCCCCTCTTATGGGAAGCCCTCTGGCACCTCCCAAGCCAAGCCGGCTGGAGACTGTGGCTGGGGCCCCGTGCCTGGCAGCAAGAGCTCCCCAGGGAGGGGCGGGGCGGGGACTCACATTGTGCAGCTTGTAGTAGAGGCCACAGGCGTTGCAGACGGGGTCCCCGTTGGCGTTTCGGCGCCATAAGGTGGTGGTTGTCGTCTGACAATTCGCACAACAGGTGCCGGCTCTCCTGGCGGCCGACTGGGGGAGGGGGGCGGCGTCAGCAGGCGGGGCTCTCATGCCCCACCTCGACCCCCCTCCCCGGCCCCCACCCCAAGCCCCTGCGACAGGAGCCGGGAAATCTCACAGGGGAACCCAAGCATCTCAGAAGCCGTGGAACTTCAGAATCTGAGACCGATGCCATCGCAGAACTTTGAATAAAGAAACTCTCAGAAGCCTGAGATCAGAATCAACCAGGGGCGCCGGAGCCGAAAGGAAAAATCAGCCTCCGCTCCCAACCGTCAAACTGACCCTTATAAATGGGGAAACTGAGGCTCTGAGAGGGGCTCTGGTTTAGAAGGCTGGCTGAGGCCCCCGCGAGCCCCTGGGTCTGGAGCGGACTCTCCACACCTCACAGGCCTGGGTGTGACAGCGCGTCTGGGGCGGGGGCAGGCACGGCGGGTGTTTGGGGTCCTAGAGCTGCAGCGTCCAGTGTGCTGGCCGCTAGCCAGGCGGGGCTGTTTAAAGTCACCTCAACTACAGTTTAATGAAATCAGAAACCTGTCCCCCACTGCACAGCCGCATCTCAGGGAATCGACAGTCACAACCATCGCGGGCGGTGCAGACCCAGAACGTTTCCGTCACCACAGTGCTCAGGAAGGGGGGAGGGGGGTCATCGTCATCCTCCAGCCCCGCAGCCCGTGGCCCAAACCACGGGGCGCTAACTGCCCCGCACCCCTCGGGGAATGCGGCCAGAGGAGCCTGGGAAGGAGCGCCTGCCTGGTTTCCGGAAAAGGGAGCTGAAGGCTCCTAACGAGAGAGTCAGAGAGTCTTCAAGCCCAGAAGGCAGATCTCTTGTGGGCCCACCAGCCCAGCCCCGCGGTGACAGACGTGCCTGTCCCCAAGGAACCGCAGGCAGGGCCGGGTGGGGGTGAGGCCAGCAGAGGCCGGCGGCCTCGCGGAGACCAGGGACCTGCCGGGGGGCGGGGAGGGGGAGGGTGAGTAAGCAGCCTGAAGCTGGAATTCTGACTCAGGGGCCAACACGGTATCCTCCGCCCCTGCCCCCACCCGGGCCCTCACCCCGCCCTCGCTCAGGGCGGGGGGGAAAAAGGGGGCCCCCAAAGCGGCAAGCGATTTAAGCCTCGTAAATCACTTCGCCCTGAAAAAAAAATATATTTATTATTCTTAGCATTTTACGCATTATTTGCAGAGCGGAGGGTATTAGAAATTTCAAAACAGCCCAGCGAGAGGCAGGACTGAGCCGAGGAGAGGCTCTAAAACTCGCGGAGTCCGGAAACAGATACGCGAAGTTTCCTTATCTTCAGGCTGCAGATGTCCGGATAGGAAACTCGGGCAGGGGATCCGAAAGGGCATTTTTTTAAATCACTCAAATGAAAATACACAGTATAGGTGACTCCATGGAAAAATAATAAATAAGGGGCAGGTTTTTTGGTGGCTGGTGTGAGTGTGTGTTTTATTTAAATAAGCGCGAGCAGACTGTGTTCTGGGCGACAGGGAAGATTACTTCATGGCCCTATTTTTAAAGAGCGCTCAACGGAGGCCAGGGGACAGGAGCTGCGCCCCTTGGACGGCCGACTTTGGGAACCCCCCGAGGTCGGGGGCGTGAGGGTACCTGATGGGCCGTGGAGGGGGGGAAATCCGGCCTGAAGCAATCTGGCCTAAAAGAAGGGTGACCCCAAGTGATTTAAATGATAAAAGGATTTCAAGAGGCCAAGCAGCTGCATTTGAAGGGTCTGGTGGCGTTACTATTATTTTTTAAATAAATTGCCGGCTCCCGTGTCCAGGTTAGCGGAGGGGCGCTGCCCCCCCGCCGCCCCCTCCCCCGCCACCTGCCGCCCGCGCCTACCAGTCTCCGCTTGGGCTTGATGAGCGGCCGGTTCTGCCCATTCATCTTGTGGTAGAGCCCGCAGGCGTTGCACAGGTAGTGCCCGGTGCCGTCCCGCCGCCAGAGAGGGGTGGCCGTGGCCCCACAGTTGACGCATTCCCGGCCTTCTGAAGGGGGACAGGGAGACACACCCGCGCACTGAACGGACAAGGTCACAGGAGAGAGGCAGGGGTGTGCCGGCGCCAACAGGCAGCGGTCGCCTCGGCCAGGCTGCTTCAGGGGCTGACTTTTAGCTCCGACCCCGGGCAGGAAGAGGGACCCGGAGGAGGCCCCCCCCACCCCCAAAGGAGGGGAGTCGGAGAGGAGCTCGAAGGCCAAGTCTCCCTCTTCAAAATCCTCTCTTGAAGGAAGGGAAGCGGGGCAGGCAGGAGGAGCGGGCCCAGGGCCCCAGGGGTTCGAACTCTGCCCAGGGCAGGGCGGTGCCAGGGGTCGCCCAGCTCGACCCGCCGGCCGGGGCCGCCTCTGCCTCGCTTTCTAGCTTTGCTCTCCGTCTCCTTCTCCCCACCTTCCGACTCCCTGCTCGGCGTCCTGCGCCCTCAGCCCTCTCTCCGTTCTCCGGGCAGCGGAATTTCCTTCCTGGTGCCCAGCTGCCCGAGGCCCAGAATTCAGCCCTGGACTCCGACACAAGGTGTTGTTCTTTAAAATAAAATAAATCCTGAGCCCTTTCGTTTTGAGGCCAAGTTGGCCAGGTGACCTTGGTCGGCCGGCGGCGGTGTTTTTGGGTTTTGTTGTTGTTGCTGCTAAAAGGCCATCTGGGATTCAGATAGAACGTACAACGAACTTGGGGGAAAGGGCTGAGGTGAGGCAAGGCAGCCCGAGCACAGGGCCCGGAGGTGGGGCCGAGCCGGGTACCGGCGGCGGCGGGGGCACTCAGGCCCCGCAGCCTTGGCATCGTGTTGCCGGGGAAATTTTTTCCCCATTTAGGTGAAGCTAAATTGTCGGTATATACGGGCAAGGAAAGGTTGTAAAAAGTTTTAACAAAATCTCCTTCCTTGGCTTAAAGGGATGGGTAGGGAGCGAAAGCCCCGACCGGCTTCTGCTCCCTGGCCGGACGCTTGGGGAAACCAGCGTGGCCCCAGCCGTCTCCTCCGGCAAACCTCGGCAAACTCGCTCCAGCCTCCTCCGGGGGGAGGGGGAGTGAAGGACACGCGGGGGGCGGGGGGGGGCGGGGGGGGCAGGGAGCAGGAACAAGTCCCGGGAATGTTGCTTTGGGGGAAATCGCCCCAGGAGATTGGGAAACGTCGAAATCCCAAGATCTGGACTGACCGAGCTGGAGAACCAGATTCCTGGAGGGTCGGGGGCGTCTACATGCGCCCACAGCAGACACACACACGAAGACACTAAACACAGCGTCCTTGCTGTCACTTGCTACTGCGTTCTCTCACACAGGTCAAGAGGCTCCTCAAACGTTCACTTAAGATTCAGGGAAGGGAAGGGAAGGGAAGGGGGAATTCCCGGCCGGTGTTCAGCCTGGCAGTGGCCAAGCTTGGAGGGAGGGTGAGGAGGGGGGGAAGGGAAATAAACTTTGGGGGTGACCAGGAACAGTCAGGGGAAGGACACAAGTTTTAGGGCTCCCGCTCCCCCATTCTGGGGTCTACTAGAGACTCCCATCACCCATCCCCAGATCTGGAAGGCTGACATGGCCCCATCTCCCATATCAGAGCCCCCCCCCACACACGCACAAAAGCACAGACCATCCCCTCTCCCACTAGGTCCCTGGCACCTGCCTTTACCTGAACAGGAGCGGGCCTTGCTGCGCTGCTTAGGGGTGAAGCTGGAGGCGGGGCCGCCCAGGAAGCCTCCGGGGTGAAAGAGTCCGCTGCTGTAGTCGTGAGCGGCGGCGGCGGGCACGTAGGAGGGGTAGGTGGGGATGGGGTGGTGTGTGGCGGGCTGGGTGCCCATGGCGGCCAGGCCTGGGCGCAGAGGGCTGCCGCTCTCCATCTTCATGCTATCGGTCAGTGACACCTGGTACTTGACGCCATCCTTGTCCTCCCCACGGGCTGCGCTCCCCCCGGCCGAAGAGGAGGCTGGAGAGGCAGCCCCGGTGCTGGGGTCCGGGGACACTTCCTTGGGCGGCGTGGGTGGGAAGCCGAAGAGGTGGGAGCCAGAGTGGGCTGCCGTGGGGGTGAGGGAGGCCACGGAGCCCCCGCTGCCGCCCCCGCTGCCGCCCCCCGCCCCGGGGTACACGGAGAGGGGGCCTCCGGGGCCCCCGGCGGCTGAAGGGTGCAGCGGCGCCTTGGAGAAGGGGTTCACCGTCCAGGGGTTGTGGTGGTGCGCGGCGGCCGCCGAGAGCGCGGCCTTCCCCCCGTCGAGCCAGGGCAGTCCCGGGCTGTGCAACAAGTGCGGGCGACACATCTGGCCTCCGGTCAGGCGGGCTGGGGAAGGACAGAGGGGGCTCAGGGTGCGCAGAGGCCAAGGCGCGCCGCGACGGACGCCCGGGACCCCAACTCCCAAAACAACGAGCAGTGACCTTCTTCTGGAAGAAACCCAGACACATGACACCCCGGCCGGCAATAATCAAGGATGTCAGTCCGGAGCTGAAGGGCAAGCGGCACAGAAGGAGCCTCGCTGGACCAGGGCCCTCGAGGGAACCACCGCCCCCCCCCACGGGGCCGGCTGGAAACGGGCGAAAACCCCACGGAGCCCAGACCCCCCTCCGGAGGCCGCCGCCGCCACCTTTCCCGCCGCGACGTTGCAGCGGCTTCGAGTCCCGCGGGCCGCACATCCGGGAAGCAGGCGGCCGGGCCTCCGCCCTCCCGCGCCCGGCGCCCGGGTCCCCCCAGCGGCCTCGCGCTCACCGTGCGCGGGGCTGTAGGAGACGCGCGCCCGCGCGTGGGCCGGGTTGGCGTAGTAGGGGTTGCCCTGCGAGTCCAGGTGGTTGAAGAAGACGTCCACCTCGTCGGGCGGCAGCAGCTGCGCGGGCTCCATGTAGTTGTGCGCCAGGCCCGGGTGGTGCGAGTCGGGGTGCTGCGCGTTCAGCACGGCGGGGTGCGCCATCCAGCGCGGCTGCTCCGGCGCCACCTCCATGGCCGGCGGCGGAGGCTGGGGTCCGGGCCGAGGCGGCGGCGGCGGCGGCCCTGCGCGGAGGGAGGGGGCGTGAGGGGCGCCGCCACGGGCCCGACGCCCCCTCCCCCGAGCCCCCCCACGCGGGGTCCCGCGCGCCGCCGCGCCCCAGAGGAGCGCAGCCGAGGCGCAGTCCCGGGTGGGAGGAAAGCTCCCGGCTCAAAACGAAAGGAAGGCGGAGGAGACCGTCCAGCCGCTCGCATTCGCATGGGCACCCCCGGCCCCGGAGCCGCAGCCCGGGTCACGCGCGGGGACCAGCCCCGGCACCGGTTACCCCAACACACACAGAGTGTCGCTTTAAGCCGGACACTCACACGGGCCCCCCTCCTCCCCGGTACGCAAACACATAAACACACACTAAAAGTTGGAGATAGGCTCCTGGGCACCCACTGGGCACACGACCCTAGAGACCCGCACATACCTACACGCGGCGCCGGAGGCACGTACCAACTTGACGACCCCCCCCCCCCCCCCCGCGACACACACGCGCAGCCCCAGCGGCTGGGAGCCAGCCCCCCCCTCCGCCCCCCCAGCTCACTCCCGGGCGGCACAGTCAGGCCCTCGCACCGAGGCAACCAAAGCAGCCACCCGAAGCCGGGCCCCGGCCTGGAGCCCCCGAAGACACCTCTCCGAGCTTGGCGCGCCCCCGGCCCCCCGCCAGCCCTCGCGCCCCAAACTTACACACGCAGCGCCGCAGGGAGGGGGGCCGCGGCCTCGGGGACGGGGCTCAGCGCCGGCGGGGGCCCCGCGAGCGGCGGGCGGCTGGGCTCACGGCGTGCGAGCGGGGGAGAGCGCGCGCCTCGGCCCCGGGCCCGCCCGGCTGCGGCCCCTCGGCATCCTCCGGCCGCCCTGGCGCCAGCTCGCGGCTCCGGCACAGACATGAAGCGGGGGCCGCGCACGCCTAAGAAGCCCGCGCCAGCCAATCAGCGCCGCGCGCCGCCCAGCCTCCGCCCCCCATTGGCTGCGCCCGCGACTCCCGGACCGCCGGACTCCCGGGCTGACCCGCCGCGCCTGCCCCCCTCCGCCCGCGGGCCCCCTCCCCGCGCCCTCCCGGCGGCCCCTGCTGCCCGCGCCCCCCGCCCGGACCCTCACCCACCGGCCGGCCGCTGCGCCCCCTCCTGCGGACGCTCCGGGACCCGCCTCCCCCAAGGCCGCCTCCCCAGGAACCACCCGCCTCCAACCGGGCACCCCCTGCCCGGGAGCCCGCGTCCCGCGCCCTCGGGCCGTCTGGGCGTCCGCTCGCAGGACCCCCGCCCCTCCGCTCTCCCGGACCCCACCTCCTTCACCACTGAGCGGGGCCGGCCGGGGGTCCCAGCCCCCGACCCGGACGGTTCCCTCCCCCCGACTCGGGCCGCGGCTGAGCAGGGCGGGGGCACAGCTTCGGGGCGGCAGGGCGGAGGGCAGCGGCCGCCGGGCTCAGCGGGCCGCGGGGCCCCGGACCGGAGGCCGCTCAGGACTGTGCTCGACGGGGTGGGGGTGGCCGGGCCGGCGGCTCCGGAGAGGGGGAGGGGGCGTCCCCTTCCCGGGCGTGGCCTTCGCAGACCAACGGGCCGAACTGCCTGGGGCGAGGCCGCGGAGACCCGGGCTGGCGCCGGCGCCGGCTCGCAGGAGACGCCTCCGGGCAGGAGGAGGCATTTTTCCCTCCCGGGGGTCCCCGAGGCGGCCCCTGGGGAGAGGCAGGCCACAGACGGCGACCTCTGTCCCCGAAGTCACCTGGAACTGCTCTCCGCACCCCCCGCGCAGAGACCCCGCTCCGAGGGCGGAGTGGCCCCGTGCACAGCTCCCCTCGCCGTCTCCCATTGCTCAGACGGCGAGACCGAGGCTCCACGGGGGCCTACGGTCGACGAGGGGGGAGGGGGTCGGAAACAAAGAACTTCGGGGTGTCGAGACAGGTGCGGGGCACGGGGGGACCATCGTCGTCCTCCAGCCCCGATCCCTTAGCTGGGTCTGCGGCTCTCGGACTAGGAGCCCAGAGGGACCCGGGGTGGGTCCGGACAGGGGCGCGGGCGGGGGTCCGGGCCGCCCCCGGGAGGGCGGGGGAGGGGCGGCGGGATTGACAGTCGGTAATTGGGTAACTGGAGGCGGCTTCTCCGGCCGGGCGGCCCCGCCACCGCGACGCCGGGCCCCTGACGTCACCCGATTCGCCAGGAAATGAACTTTTTAATAATCCGAGGAGGGAGGAAAGCCCTCGGTCCCCTCGGCTCTGGGGGTGGGGGGGCCCCGGCCGGGCCCAGCGCCGCGGAGCGCGCGTCGCCCTCTCCCAGACCAGCCCCGGGCCGCGCCCGGGCCGCGGGCACAGCCCCGGGGCTTCTGCGTCCGGCTGTGCGTGGATCCGTGCGAGGCCCCGGCGCGGGTAGAGACGCGGGACCGGAGGCGCGGAGCCCCCTCGGGCTGACACCCGCGCGTCCGGCCGCTGCGCCCCCCGCTCGGCGGGCTCCGGGGCGCGCGGGGCTCCGCTGGCTCCGGGGCGCGCGGGGCCGGCCCGGGGCGCTCGGGGCTCCGGCCGCAGAAGAGCAGGCCGGCGCCCGCCGCATGCAGCGCCGGGACCCGGAGCGGGACGGCGAGGCCAGGCCGGGCAGGTGATCGGCCTCCGTGCCCCCGGCTCATGCTCCCCGAAACGCGCGCGGTCGGCCCGGACCGGCGGCCTCTCTGTTCGTCTGTCTCTCCTCCCTGCCTTTAGCTGATGGCTCTTCATCAACGCGTAAAACGCGATCGTCGGAGCCTCGAGACCGTTTTGCGTCCCCGGAACCTACAGGAGCTTATTTATCAAAGACCCCGGCACCCCCGGACAATCCCGGGTGTCGGGCGAGACTGCCGCCAGCTCGAGCCCCGGGCCCCAGGCGGGAGCAGCCGAGCCGGACCGGGCCGTGGACGCCGGAGCCGAGCAGACGCGCGGGGCCCTGCGACCCGCGCCCTGGCTCGCGGGGAGGCGGCCCCTCCGCGCGCTCGGGAAAGCAGGTAATTCGCTTTATTCTCCCCAAAGGCGAGGTTCAAATTTCCCCCGTTCTGGGTGGGTCTGGTTGGGTCTGCAGTTTCATCCTTAGGAGCTCCGCCAAAAGCCCCTCCGAGGCCACCTGAAGCCCCCCCTGGGGCAGCGTCTCGGGCCAGGGCTGGCGTGGGGGTGTCCCGCCTGGCCGGGCCCCCGCCTGGGCGGCAGCCCCGAGCGACCCGCTGGCCTGGCGCAGAGGCGAGCGCCGGCGGGGATTTAATTACCCGCTTCGCGGCTCAGAAAATCGCCGCACAGAGGAGCTTAGCAGGGCAGTTAAGCAATGCTTGAGCGGGGGCCTCGGGAGACGGGCACCAGTCTCCCTTCTCGCAATCCGGGCGTGGGGGGGGGGGGGGGGAAAGGGAGGCTTGCCAGGTCTCATGAGGCCCCGGGGCGGCCTTCCTCCAAAAGGCAGGCAGGCAGGCAGCCGGCTTGGCCGAGGCCTTCACTGGGTTGGGGCGCCTGCGCTGGACGCGGGACTCCCGCCTTCTCCCGCAGGAACGAACCCGCCTGGGAGAGAACGGGGGGCGCCGGGCAGCCGGAGGCCCAGCGGCCGTGAAACACACCTCCACCATCCCTGGTCCGGCGTCTTGCCCAGGAGGCAGGGGAGGCCATCCTATCTATCACTTAAACCCAAACAAACGTCGGGGGAGGCTCAGGGCGGCCCCCCAAATCAGCAGGGATTGCGGGGGGGGGCACTCTCACATCTGAGAAGAGCAGATTTATTTCGGTGTATAGCCTCGGTCTTCAGGGTCCCCAGAAAGCCTTCAGAGGGACACGTTCCCTTTTTCATGTTTTTGTTCGTTTCCAAGGGTTATTGCTAATGCGGGCGCTGCCTTTTGATCGCACCGAGAAGCTGTCACTTTCCTTACGTGCGAACGAGCCTTCAGGAAGGACTGGGGACGGGCAGCAGAGATACTGAATGCTCCAACTGCCTTTTTCAGGTGGCCTGAGAGTCCCCGAGAAAGCATGGGTCCTAACAGCTCAAGATGCTTTCTCCCGGAAGCTGGAGGAGCAGGGTTCCGAGGCCACTTTCTAGAGGGCCTCGCCGGCCTGGGCCGCGGCCCTCAGCTCTCCGCCCCGGTCCCACATAGCCCTCCCCTCCGTGCCCTTTGTTTAAACTTCCCTCATCCAAGGTGGCCCCTCTGGGACCGAAAGTTTGCCCTCTCTTTGTAACCTAATTCTTCCCCCCTTTTCTTACGGGCATCTCAGTGGCCAGCGGTGGAGGGGAGACTCAAAGAAATCCGTTTTCTTAAGGACTGCCTTCCGTGGGGATATTTAATTGGCAACCTGGCGACCTCTGAGCCCCACGCTGGCAATGTGCCTTGAGGGGTGCTGAGGAGGAAGAGGGAGCCCGCTTTAGCCAGGGGGGTTCACAGGTCCCCATAGGGTGAGGCCTCAAATCTGCTCAGGCCTGCAACCAACCATTCTCCCCGGAAGGGGTTCTGTACGGGAGGGACCCGGACTCCAACAGCCCCTTCTGCTCGCTGGGGTTCATTTCCAGCCCCCCGAATGTGAAGACTCCCTCTCCTCTGGCCTCCATGATGGCTCTCCCACGCCTTACGTCTCTGGGGCTGTTTTGAATCGTAAAACCCGGGCCGGAGAAGTCTCCGCGCCCTGGGCCGAGATGCCTGGGAGATCCTGTGTGTCCTTTTGGGGGTCCAACCACCCCCCTCCAGCCAGCCAGCCTCCCCCCTAGACCCTGCTGAGACCTGCAGACAATCGGGCAGCGCTCCTGCCTCCTTCCAGAACAGGCGCGGCTCACTCAGCGCCAGGCGGTCCTGCGGCCCCGCAGCCTGACAACTGGCAAATCCCTTTCCTTAGACGCAATTTGTTTGCAATTTGTCAGCCCGGCTGGGAAACTCTCTCCAGACGCCTGGGTAGCCGCAATGGCCCTACCTGGTTCCCCAATCCTGCCTACTCATAAACGGATCCCAGCGCTAGGTGCCTGTGTAGACCCGGAGCTCACCGCCAGATGTTCCCGATCCCCGGGAGACGTAGCTTTTTCCAAAACAACGAATTTCCTTCCGTGTTTTCCGGGAAAGGAGCGGCTGCCACTCCCGGGGGCCCTGAACGCCGGATCCCGCCCCTCGCGGCTGGGGCAGCCTGGAGTTCAAGCCTGGCGGCCGCGGAGAGCTCCTGAATGCCCGGCGTCCAGACACACCCGGATCGCCCGCCGCCGTCTACGCCTCCCGGCGGCAGATCTCGGAGCCCGCGGCGGCCCCATTCTTATTGAAATCCCACTAAACAGATTCGGCTCCGGCTTGGGGCCGGGGGGAGACTCCCCGGCTCGGCGCGCTCCCCCAGCCGCACCCCAGCCGCACAGCATAAAGGGCCGCGGGGCGCGGCGAGCGGGGGCGCACGCGGGAGCGAGCCGGGTTAAGCCGCGCAAAGCCGGCGCACGGGACCAGCCGGCAGGTGCAGCCGCGGCTCGGCGGCCGGGCCTGGGCGCCTCCGCCGCCTGGGCCCGGAGGCGGGGGCGGCCGAGACAAAGACCCCGGCTCGGGGGCCGGGAGGTGGGGCGCTTGGCGAGGCACTGGGAATAACCGGGGCTCGCGGCCTGTGTGCGGCTGCATCCGAGAAATGGGAAAACAAGAGGCCCGGCGCGGCCTACTGTCCTCGACTCCGCAGACGCTCCCTCAGTGTCAGGCCCCTGTGACCTGGGGTTCGAGCGCTGGCAGGACCAGGGCGAACCCCGAAGGCCACGTACCAGGGGCCGCGGGGCCAGGCGGACTGGGCCTAGGGGGCCGGCTGGTTCAAACCTGGGGACCGAAGGGGCCCCGGGGCCAGGCGGAGGCGGGGGCACTTACCGGGCGAGGTGCGGCGGCGGCGCCCCCGGGTGGACGGGGCCGGGGCGGAGCGGGGCGCACGGCGCGGTGCGCGGCGAGCTGGGCCGCGGGACCCGGCGCGGGCTGCGGGCGCGCTCAGCAGCAGGGCCCGGGTGGCGCGCCGAGTGGCCGCATGGTGCGCCGCGGGCCGCTTTTGTTCGCCCGGGGCCGGCGGGGGCCGGCGGGGGTGGGGGCGCCCGCAGCCCGGAGATCGGCGAGCCCGGCGGCGCTGGCCTCGCTACCTCCCTCTCGCTCCCGCGGCCTCCCCTCCCCTCCCCCGGCCGCAGCGGCCGCCGCTTTTTATTTCGACAGCACTTTGAGGGGGCGGGAGCGCCGCAGGGGGGCAGAAGGGTGCCCAGAGCCCTGCGCCCCGTTCCCTGGTCCGGCCACTCAAGGCGCAACGCCCGACTCGCCCATACTCCAGACTACTCCCGCCCCCGCCGGGGCGCAGGAGGAGCACCCACGCTCTCAGGGGTGTGAGCTCGGGGCGCCCGGGACCCTCCTGAACCGTGGCCAGAAGCGCTCACACACACGCACGTACACAGGCGCCCGCTCCTCCGCCGGTTCCCTTCCAGTAGTGCTCACACGTGCACACATCGGTGCACACGCATTGGCACACACGGCTGTGGCTGCGTGGAAATTCTCAGCCAGGAGATCTGGGTCACACTGACCTGCACGCATCCACACACTCAAATCCACACTTGACAATCTGGCGCGCGCATGCAAACACACACACACACACACACACACACACACACACACACACACACACAACCTCCCTCACTTGCAGGCTGATGTGGCTAAAATGTAAAGGCCTTTCCCTTCCGAACCACCTGTACCCCCACCTCAACTCCCCAACTCCCAAGCGGAGGGGAGCATTTCAGGAGTGGAATTTGAGGCGGCCCCCTGGCCCACCCCCAGGGAACCTTCTCGCAGGAGAGAGGGCGTAGAGGGCTTGTCCTTGGAAGGCTGGGCAGAGGAGTCGGGGTGTGGGAATCTTCACGCTAAGAACGCTCTTGTTTGTGACCAAGGGGAACCTGGTCCTTGAACTTCCAAAGTCCCTCCCTCAAAATTCAACTCCACAGTGTCCCCCCCCCCCCATTCCAGCGTGAAATGGGAGTGAAAGTGGCCTGGGGAATCTTCGGCCCAGAGAGAAAGTGCTTTGCTTTGGAAGGACCGGGAAGTCCCTGGCCCCGGGGGAACTAGCGTGTGCCGCCCATCTCTGTGGGCACCTGCCATCTGTGGGTCTTTCTTTGAAGCTGATAGTGAATGTGTTGCACGTGTGCATGTGTGCTGTGTGTGCACAGGAGAATATCTGTCCTGAGTGCCCCTGTGTTTCTGTGTGCATTTGCAAGCACAAGGGAAGTCTCCAAACCTGAGTGTGGCCATTTCTTCTTGTGGGTCCCCGAGAAGTTGCATATTGAGTATCGGTGCTTTGTGGGTCCCCGAGAATTTGTATGTTATTATGTGCGGCTCTTCAGAGCGTGACCCCCAAAGTCCTTGTGGGACAGTGTGTCGGTGGACCTGGTTGTGTGTCCCTGTGGCTGTGTATCTGTGAGATCACTTGTGTTCACGAATCATATGATGGGAAGTGGGCATTTCCAAGCGTTTATTTATAAATCGGCGTGGGGCCCCATGTGGGCCGGTAGCTGTGTGTGTCTGGGTACCTGTGTCTGTGAACTGCAGCGTGTGTGCATGCGCGCGTGTGCTCTGTCTCGCGTGAACTGGGTATTGAACTGATGACAGGAGGCAGGACGGCGTGCCCAAGTGTGTCTGCGTATCTGTGTATCCACGTGCGGACTGGTGTGTGTGGGGCCGGGGGTGCCTGTGTATCGAGGGGGTGGCATCTGCGTGCAGGAGTCAATCTGGGAACTCTGCGTACTTCTCCAGCCAGTACTGCCCTCAGTCAGCGCCTGGGGAGGAGGAGTCTCTGGTGACACACGGACTGTGCGCCTTCCCAGATCACCCACCGTCGCTAAGTCACTAACCCGCAGGGCAGGCGGCCAGTGGAGCCGCGGGTGCCATCCGCGAGGGCACTCTCTGTCTGTCTGTGGGGGGGTAGATGAGCTGATGGGGGGGTAGATGAGCTGATAAGGCTTATCTGCCGACGCCAGCGCCAGGCTGAATAACTGCTCTAATGAGGTGGCCTGGCTGGGACCACCCGCTCCCAAGGCCCCCAGCCTCACTGGGGAGGGGCCAGCGGGAGCCGGTGCTGGGGCGCAAGAGCAAATCCCCACGAACCCGGCGGTGCCCGCGTGTGTCCTGGGCCCTGTGTAGTTCCGTCTTGTTTTGGGAGGGAGGGGGTTCCAGGTCTTACACACACCCCCCCCCCCACCTGCCATCTCTCGGCTGGGCTGGGCTGGGCTGGGCTGGCCGGAGCCGGCCGGAGCCTCTTGGCCTCTGGTCTGCTGTCAGGAGCGCAGTCTTAAAAGGATAGGGGGTGAGAGGCCCATTGGTGCGGGGCCCTCCCGGCCGGCGGTGGACTGGGGGACCTGGAGGCCCAGGGATGGAAGGACCCAGAGGCGCAGGGAAGGGAGAGGAGGCCAGGGAGACCCGGGGACAGATTTTAAAAGGCAGCTGCCACAGAGGGACAGGGACCCCAGTCCGGGCTGGAGGGCACGCAGGGACCAGCGTGGTCCGGGGGCCGGGGTTGGGGACACGCAGGAACAGACCAAAACAAACAGCTTCAAAGTGGCCGGAGGAGTCAGAGGGATGGGAGCCAGGGCCCCAGACGCCTTCACCAGAGACAGCCGTGGCCAGAGACACAGGGAGAGATACAGAGGAGAGAGAGCAAAACAAAACACAAACAGGGATGTGGGGAGGGAGACGGAACCGAGGCCGCTCCCAGAGCGGCGGGGAGCAGAGGGGGAGCGGGAGCGCCCCAAAGAGGAGGAGGGAAGGCCCGAGGCGGGCCGGGCTGGGGGGCAGGGCAGGCCGCGCCCGCGACCCCACGACGGAGCCCGCGGGCGGCGGGCGGGGGTCCGCGCGGGGCTGCGCGTCCGGGGTGATTTTTCATCTCGGCCGGCTAATCTTTGTTCCCGGCGCAGATAATGAATAGCCAATCGTTATCTGCGCGGCTCCCGGAGGCCGCCCGAGAATGGGGGGTACAGGGCTGGGAATTGTCTCCAAAGTGCCGCGGAATAAATGGCGTTCCTTATCTCTGCCTTCCAGATTATCGGAGCCCTTTCAGAGCGCGCACGACGAATGCGCC